CAAGATTAGGCTTCAAACTTTCCTTTTTGCTAAAGCATATAGTTAGGGCTGGACCAGGTGACCCTGAATCCTCCCTTAGTTATGCTGCAATAGACGTAGACTGCTGGGAGATTCCCATGAGGCATTTATTATTTCCCTTTCAGGCACCTTTCTCACTCAACATGTGTTAACAGACCTCTCTGCTGAACCATACTTATTAATCTCTGTCTCTCTTCCCACAGCATGTCTTTATCCTGTCCTCCTTCGCTCTCCCCAACAGCAGATGGCCGCCCCTCCCTGAGCCTGGTTCTGCCGGAGTGGGCCCTAACAGTGGGCTAAGTTTTTCTTTGCCGCTGTCGCCCAAGTGCTTGCTCACAGGGTTTTTTCTCTCTGTATGTATTATTGTAGGGTCTAACTTACAATACTTGAGGCAACTGTTGTTGCAATTTGGCGCTATATAAATAAAATTGAATTGAATAGGGAAGAAAACATGGCATCCCTGTGCCAATAAAAGCATGCTGCTGCGTTTTGTGAAAGAGGGATAGAGGGAAGAGAACCTGGAATCCTGGTGCCAGAAGGGCTCATTACTGCTTTGTAGTAATAAACCCTTCTGGCAGACAAACTGGCAACTCTGTGGTAGGAAGCTTGCTGCATATTGCGAATGATGGATAGAGAAGAACCTGGAATCCCAGTGCCAAACTTGCTTCTGCACTTTGCGGAAGGAGGGATAGAAAACATCAAACCGATTTTAGCCTAAACAAATGAAATGAAAATATGAACCTGTTTTGAAAATTGAAGTTGAGTAGAAAGTACAGATGTTTGTTTATAAAAGTAGGGAGTAAAAGTAAAAAGTGATCAGAAAAAACTCCTTACATAAAATAGAGATACCTGAAAATTATACTTCCCACCTCTGCATGTGAAGTTAGTCATTCAGACTTGGATGACATTGAAAATTAATATTCTATACATATTAATTTCAGAAGATCATTAAAAGTGTTGTTTATTAAGTAATTGATAAGATGTATTTTAATACATTTTTTTTTTCTCTGTATCTATGAAGCGCCTTGAGGCGACTTATGTTGTGATTTGGCGCTATATAAATAAAATTGAATTGAAATTGAATTGAATACTTTAACACTGAAAAATGTACACATTTTCTCCTTTTTCACACACTGAAATTTACATGTTTTAACAACACTAAAACACATTTTATCAGATCTTTGCATCAAAATAACACATCTTTGTGTGTTAAAAAAGAGCCGTTTGGATCCAACTCAGCTTAAGAATTATAGGCCTATCTCTAAGCTTCCATTATTATCGAAAATTCTGGAAAAAGTAGTTGCAGATCAACTTACCACTTTTTTAGAAAAACATGATATGTATGACAAATTTCAGTCAGGTTTCCGTAAAAGTCACTCAACAGAAACCGCATTACTTAAAGTCTCTAGTGACATTATGATGTCAGCTGACTCAGGAGCATCCTCAGTCATGGTTTTGTTGGACTTGACATCTGCCTTTGACACCATTGACCATACCATCCTGATTAACAGGCTCCGGGACATAGTCGGTGTGTCCGGTCTGGCTCTGTAGTGGTTTCGGTCGTACCTCTCCAACAGATCTTTTAGTGTTTTTGTCTAAGGATCTGACATGTGGGGTACCACAGGGCTCAGTTCTGGGTCCTGTTCTTTTTCTTTTGTACATGTTACCTCTAGGACTTATAATTATTCAGTTCCCTGAGGTGTCTTATCAGCCGATGGAAGTCCATAAACTGTCCTCTTTAATTAAATGTTTAGCTTCCATTGAACAGTGGCTTGTTGACAACTACTTACAGTTGAACTCTGAGAAGTCAGAAACATTAATTATTGCCCCCGACAACCAGATATCTCTAATCAAACAGCATCTTGGTTCTCTTGGCTCATCTGTTCACCTGAGCCTCAGGTACCTTGGTGTGATGTTTGATTCTGCCATGTCCCTAGAACAACACTCTCGCCAGTTGATTAGGAATTGCCTTTTTCAGCTAAGAAACATCTCCAAACTGCGAACTTTACTGTCTAAATCTGAGTTAGAAATGGTTATTCACGCTTTTATTTCTTCTCGCTTAGATTATTGTAACAGCCTTTTTCTGTGTTTGAGCAAGAGGAATATTGACCGTCTCCAGTTAGTCCAGAATGCTGCTGCAAGGCTTTTTACTAAGACACGAAAAAGAGAGCACATTACACCAGTGTTACGTTCATTACACTGGCTTCCGGTACATTTTAGAATTCATTTTAAAATCTTGGTACTGACTTTTAAAGCTTTGAAGTGTGATGCCCCTGACTACATTTCTGATCTTTTAGAATCCCACGCTCCCTCTCGCAGCCTGAGATCATCTAATCAAAGGCTGTTGGTAGTCCCACGAACTCGTTTTAAGACTAGAGGTGATAGATCTTCTAGAGCGGTGGCCCCCAGGTTGTGGAATGTTCTCCCTCCATCATTACATTGCCTTGACTGTATTTATTCTTTTAAAAAGCAGTTTAAGACTCATTTATTTAGATTGGCTTTTAATTAGATTTGTGCTGTATGTTTGATTATTAATGTATTTTATGTATTTCTGCTTTATATTACTGTGAAGCACTTTGTGGTTTTTATCCTGTGAAAAGTGCTATATAAATAAATTGATTTGATTTAATTTAATCCCACAAAAGAGATGAAAGTTAAAAGAGCAGACACATGAAAAACTGACACAACATGCATTGTCCCTGAGCAGATGCAGCACATGTTAAAATTTAACACACTATGTAGTGTTTTAACACATCCTTTCTAAGAGTGTAGATGAATTAAAATACTTGGAATCATCCAAAGCAAGCAGACAGTGCAGAGAGAAAGACTAAAGAACAAAGCAAACTATGAGGAACACGAAAACAGAAGCTGAGGCAGTGCCTGCGTTGTTCTAAATATTGGTGGGGGTGGTGTCACGTTTTGTTGTACGTTTATAACAATAGTTTCTTGTTATATCAATAAAGGCTACCCGACACCCATCCGCCACCACGTTACCATAGCTGTGTCGGAAGCTGTTGATTATGAGTTTATGTATGATAACACCATAACGTCTTCCTCCGCCTGCACTTTTGTTTTTTCACCGGCTCTTCCCCGCCTAGGCTCTCCACGTCACATGCGGCGCATCGTTGCAGGCGAATGGAGCCGAACCGCTATCTTCACTGACCTGGATTGTGGAGGGTCTCGATTCTGCCCAGCTCAGCGGAGAAGATAACACTGCAGGTAAACCCGGTATTTTCTTTTCATCAAATAACCACCTCAAATATTACATCTTATCTGTTTTTTGTTTTTGTTTTTTTTGCGCATGGAAGGCTTCGGCTGTGGTAACAAATAAATTGTGTATGAATAATCACAGCATGAGCACACATGCACGCAAACACGTACAGTCCCGTCATTGTAATCGCCACGTTTTTAGGCAGAAGAAAACATTAGGACCCTGTATTAGTGCCTCTTTATAATATGTGCCGCCAGTGCCATTGCTGCTTTAAGATTCATCATTATTTATTTAAATAATCATTACATTAAAAAAACAAACAAAAAAACAACTGTTTTCATGATCGTCTTATATCTCACCGCCAACATTCGTGGTTACAAAAAGATGTAAAGGCAGATGAATCTTGTCTCTGATCTGCTCCGCCTCGCAGATGGAATCTTGACGTGAACGATGCCGCTGCAGGGCAGCGCTGTGCCAGGAGCGTCCGCCGAGCTGAAGGAGGAGCCGGCTTGAGAAATTCCAGTAATCGTAACACCCTTAACTACACCTGGATTACAGCAAACTCACCTCACTGTTTGCACATCGATCTTCTACATGGATATGGAGGGAGCAGGATAGCGGGAAGATGAGACCAGATCTTCGCAATTTAACGCACCAACGTAGCCAATGGTAAGTTTGTTTTTTTGTTTGTATTTTTTTCAGGTTCAGGTTACCATAAAGCACGTGCAACACGTACACTGTATACTGTATAGGTTAATCAGTGTGTAAACATACTCTGATTAAGTAAGATCATGTGTTTATGTCAGATGCAGAAAAAAATCCTTTAAATGCATTAATAATAAACAAGCTATTTTATTTACTGGATATGAGTACACTGAAAAATGAAGCAAGTAAATTTACTAATGTAATATCATCTTGAACATGCATATTTCCATTTTATATCACTAACAGAACTATCACACACTATACAGTACAATAAGAATGTAAGTAAGCATGCACTGAATCTCCTTGTACTTTTTAAAAAGGCTAAACAATATGTTTTTAAGTTTTCAAAAAGGGACTCTGCCTCATACAGTGGTTTGGTACTCTGCCTACCATTCTCTAACGTGAAACAGAAACCGGATGCAAGTGGGTATGGACACTGAGCTGTTACAGGGCCTGTCATATCTTCTGGGTTGACCCATTGAGACTGATTTGGGTGATTTTCAGTGGAAAATATGTCAAGAGTCACACTCTGAATTTCCAACATGTTATCTTTCAGAATGTTGTTTGACATTAAGTGACTGAACCTCAATCTGTGAACACATTTTAACATAAAATGTTCAGAAACTGACTGTCTGCAGGCTGCATTTAAAACATCATTTAAAACACATTTAGTTCAATGTCAGAGTTCTAAAGTTATTTCACCCTCGTCTTCACATCAACCCCCAGCTCCAACTGTGACACACCTTTTTCGACAAATGACTGATCATTGATCAGTGTGTAACATACAGTAAATGTTTGCACTGGCAGTGCTGTTGTCCACAATGTCAATGCGTGGACTATAAATTTAATTCAGAGCTGATTATAAATCTGTGATGTTATTGCTGTCTGCAGTCCTTTTACACTGGTGACTGTAAAAATGTTCATGTCAAGTACGCAGAATATAAAAGTAATTGAAATTGGGGACTTTATGAATGAGGAAATGAATCCAAGTGTCAGTCAAAGGTTCAGGTGTAGCAGGAGGGAGGGATGGAGGGTGGGAGGTCAGAGAAAAATTCTAGGTTTTGGTATCACAGAGTCTGTTAGGTTCACCCAGTCTGTTACTCTGTAACTGACTGTGTGAACTTAAGTCTATTCACAGATTGTTGCAAAAAGAGGCTGGAAAAATAAGCTATACTAAAAAAGAAATATTGTGGAAAATTCTGCAACTAAATAGATGAATTGGAGCAGGTCAGTAACATGGTTAAGTTAAGAAACACATATTAGACAGGGAAGAGATTCTCAGAGGTAAAGATGAGCTGTGTGTGGAGATGAGAGAGATGGATGTGAATATTAACAAAAAACAAGCCTTTATTTAGGGCTACACACAACTATAAACAAAAGGCAAGGGAAGACTGAGGTAAACTAAACTAACAAAACAAAAGCAGAAACACCTAAACACCAGATATATCGAGGAAAACACAAAGACTGGAAAACCTGAAACTAGGAAACACAAGAGAAGACAGGCAGATGGGCCAACAACACACGGAGGAGAAGAACTAAATACACACAGGGACAGGAAACAGGAGAGAAAAACAGCTGGGGCTAATCAGAAACAACGAGACAGAGAGGAAACAAAAGCTAATGCCTTCAAAGTTTGATTAATCCCCAACACTAACTTAGTCTAATACACTCAAATGACAAACTGTCATGAATGCTGGATTTAGCTTGTACATGTTACATATGTGAACAGCAGTATGCAAAATCCAAGTAATAAGAAAACATTAGTTATCTTATCCAGATGAATGTTTTATATCTTTCCTAAAAAAACACTTGACTCTGACACCCTGAAAAATTTTGTTTTTACATGCACAAAGGCAAAAAAAAAGCTAAATTGCAATAACTTATGTAATGGCACAGTGTCTAGTTGGTCATCCGAGACAAGTGGAGTGTTATGCAGAGCTCTACTGCTGCTGTGTGTGCATGCCTGTGTGTGCATTTTTTCATATTATGGGATCTGCAAAGGATTTTATCAGTCATGCGCTGTCTAATAGATGGGTTGTTCAGTGGCGCGTAATGAGAGAGCATGCTGTCTGAGAGAGAGAGAGCGAGAGAGAGCGAGAGACAGAGGAAGAAAAATGAGAAGAGGAATCATGACAGTGTCTCAAAAATATAAAGGTTTGGAAGGCAAAGAGAGAGCGAGTTGACACTGTCGTGAAGATGGGGCCAAATTAGCTTTTGATTTCTGTTTCTAAAGGACTTTTCAGTTTGAATTATACAAATGCAGGAGTGTATTCCAGTGAAAGAACATAGATGGTTTAAATGTTTGGAGCCATGTTTTTCCTCCTAACAGAGACGTGTGCTAAGCCTGCCCAGGACATGCACATCGCTTACTGTCTGTGAGTCACTTTTTCAAAGCCTCCTCCACATTCCTTGCTCCTCCAGGACTAAGTGATCTTAGCTTGGTTTAAATAACACCAGTATATTTGTTGGTCTGAAGTAATCTAAATGCGAAATGTGTTTTTTAATCAATCAGATTAAACGATGTTACAGATATCATTTTGACTGATTGCACTCATCACATTTCTTATTGTCCAGATTCACTGTCCAGATCCCAGAAAACTGCACATCAATTACAAGACAATCAAACAGAACTTCTTTGGACTAAAATATTGTTTAAACTTGCCAACAGCATGCTAACATGCTAATGGCTCAACTAAGACCTCCATGTACACATAGTGAGATTATGACACAATTAGCATTTTTTTGCAGGTCATATTTGCAGTTGGGTTAGAAAATCAGCACTGCTCAGTGTTAGTCATTGTTCATCGTTAACATTGACTAGGTTACTGTTAGAAATATAACACTGTCAAAAGTATTAATTTAACACTCAAAAGAGTGGGCACATATAGACACTTTCTAGTGTCAATTTAACACTGGAGATTTTGCAGTGTTTGTGTCAGATTTTATGAGGACTTGAGATTTCTCGTCTACCATGCAGGAACTGTAATGTTGTTTGTCAGTTCTGTGAATGTCTTTCTGTAGATATTGTGAGAAAATCTCAGTGTTAACACACTCATCTCCAAACATCCTCCAGGTCATTGGTTGTTCTAGCGTTAGTTGTGACATTAAAGTTGGATTCACTCGCTGGGCCCACGTCCTCATTTTAGGTTTGACAGCGTTTTAGTAGATAAAGGTGAATGCCAATCTCTTCACATTGGAAGCAAGCATAATCAACACGGTCCACATGTTATTTCAAAATATTATAGATTCAACTCATTAATCCCTATGGGGTTTGCTAAATTATGTTTATCTAGAACTCCTCTCTGTCTCTAAATTTTGGAGAATTTCATGCTTGGTGTCACAGTTTAGGAGTTTGACCATAGGTGACATTTATGGTGTTATCACCCCATCGGGGCTTACCTTTCCCACTTTTCGATGATATTCCTCCCTCGACCATTTGACATTACCCTCCTTTGGCGGCGAAAAACTGATGGTGTGGCCACGTGGGTGCTATGGGAAACAAAAGCTCAGGACAAAACAGTTATCAGTCACGTGCTTCATACAAAATTTGCATATATTTTGATTTCATGTTGATTCACTGAGTGTAATGGTACACTTTAATTTGAATTTAACAAAGTTCAACACAATGGCTTTTCTTTATTTTGCTTCTGTTCTTTTTGCAGTACCACATCCTAGCACATGCCCCTGTCGGTTGCATTCTACTTGTAATAATTGACTATTTTAACAGGAAAAGACCTCAGTCACGTGGACCAGTGTTTGTTATTACATAACTCTATTTTGAATGTGACAAATCTACCATTCCCCCTTGCTATTCATAAATATTGTTTTGGTTCTGGCTATTTTCCTCTATAAAATTTAATTGACTTTTTACAGTGGCCCGCTATGGTCAATAATAGCATATTCCAGTCATAAGTGATATCAAAGGTTTTCTCCACTGTAGCATTTGGCATTCCCAACAATATTGTGATTCCGTAATCAAAACGCAGCCGATAAAACACAATTTTCCTAATGCAAACATCAGTAACTCAAAATTGGCAGCCAAAGGGTTAAGTCTGCAGCTCCACACTCTCATGTGAAGCTACAGTCTCCCCCACTGGTCCCTCTTATCCTCCTGCTCCTGCAAAACAAAACAAAGCATCCTCCCTTTTCTTACCGGCTGGGTGAATTGTTTGTCAGCATTTACTAATCCTACGGTAGGTGCAGTCTCTCAGTATCAAGTCAGTCAAAACTTTAGTCCACATCGTCACTCCATCACCGTCCAGTCACACACATTCATTCACACACATCCATACCAGATATTGCTGATAGTGGAGTCTCACGTGCAACCAACCTATTCCAGTCTCCATCAACAGCAAGATGATGTCATAATTTTTAAAAGGAAAACAATTCTTTATCATTTTGGACTGGATTGACTCGCTGCAATCCTTTTAGACTCAGGACTTACCATCTAATGTGGTCAGTGTCCCATATAAGTGAATTTCTCCAAAGCCCATTATAATCATGGAAAAGCACTTTGCACACCGGTGGGTCACACCTGTCAGATTTCTTATCTCAGTGCACTGTAACAAAAGCAAAAACAAAAGTAAACCATAAAACAATAATAAAATAACAAATACTAGGGCCAGTTCCAGACAAGTCCAAGCATAAAACCGTCTCTCTCTCTCTCATAGAGGAAGAAAACAACCCAAACCTCACTGATAAAATCAACCTACTGTTAAGAAAAATCAACAGATAACTCACAGGAGTTCCTCATGAAACAATATTGTTTGGGAATTAGAACCTCAGGTGCCGTAGCATGCAGAGTTGCATTCACTGCTCCTGGCTTTAATTAGTTTCTGATACTTTCTTGGTCTGAACTCAGACTTAAGTGTCACTCCGTGACTCTCCAATTGCGAGCTCTGTTACAATCGTCCACAAATCTGCCCAGGTCTTTCCACCTGCTGTCACTAGACCTATCAAGGGGA